TCAATCTCTGGCTCTTCCATCCACATCAAAACACACAATTCCTGCCTCCCCATCCTCCTGTCCTCTCCTTCTACCCCCAAAAGCAGAGATGGAGGGAGAAGGAATAGAGCACATCCCAAAGGACAAGGAATGCAAGTTAGATTTTAGAGGAAGTGCACTGAACTGTTTTTTGGCATTTTTTCTGGTTTTGTTTCCAGCCAGAGTGAAGCAAGCCTAGGAAATCTCAACATTATCCATAATTTTTGTGCACAGGTTTTTAACAGACAAAACATGCAAAATATTTTTACCTGAAAATTGCAATTCCCATAAAATCCCAGAATAGTTTGGGCTGGAAGGGACCTCAAAGATCATCTCACTCCAGCTCCCTGCCATGGGCAGGTGTGGAGTTCATATGGAGTCTCACATTCTCTCATAAGAGAACTCAAAGTGCCAAGAGTTGAAAATAAAAATTCTTTAAAAATCCATCCATTTTACTGATACCAATGCCCAAACTTGACACTGGTGTGGACCCTCTCCTGGCAGCTCCACAGCTCAGCACAACCCACCCTCTTACCAGGTTTCCTTTAGCCAGTCAATGGGATGTTTTTTTAATGGGATGAGGTGCTTTTAGCTGACACAGAAGATGACAAAAGGCAAGTGCAAAGCAAACAGCTACTGTTCAATAGCCTCTAAAATTCCTGTCATGTTCTGATGAGCAAATATTTACCTTTTTAAAACAATTCTTTCTTAATCTAAGGTTTAGGTCCAGTGCATCCTGGTGCAGGTAATAAACACACCAGGACTAAAGCAACCCCTCCTGGCTGCTGTCCACTGTTTCCTTAAAATGAAATTTTTGCCACGGCTGTTCGTGGTTATCGAGAAACAACAAGCTGGGATGTTTGACAAACACAAATTGGGAGCTGCTGAGGAACAGAAGTTATCAGGGGAGGATTTTCCTTTGCAGTACCCAGAAGATCCAATTTCACAGAATCCCAGAATCCCAGAATGGTTTGGGTTGGAAAGGACCTTAAAGATCATCCAGTTCCAGCCCTCTGCCATGGGCAGGGACACCTTCCACGAGCCCAGGTTGCTCCAAGTCCTGTCCAACCTGGCCTTGGACACTTCCAGGGATCCAGGGGCAGCCACAGCTTCTCTGGGCAACCTGTGCCAGGGCCTCCCCACCCTCACAGGGAAGACTTTCTCCCTAATATCCAATATAAATCTAATTTCACCAGTTTAGGATATCTCCTTGTTCGAGCAGCTCAATGCAAGCAACTTTATGGTTTGGGTTATTTTGTTTTACAAAGGCTACTAAGAAAAATTCCCATTTTTAAACACCATGACAGGTATAGCAGTGGCTTTTAAAAGTTCCAGGAATTTAGGAATGCCCTTCAGTGCAAAACTGCCCCTGTGCCTCTGACTGCACAAACCCCAGCAGCTCTGCCTGCAGCACTCTGAGATTCAGGCAAGATTGGGAATTATCCCCCTCTGCTGACACAGGGCAGCATTTCCCATCTCTGCACCCTCGGATATTCCAGAGGTATCCCTGCAAACCCGTCCCACGTGCAAGTTTCACACCGCACATTAAAAGGAAAGCAAACCACAGTTGTTTGTGCTGTGACGAAGCTCATTAAGGCCAATGATGCAACGTTTCATCTCTTCATCTGCTGAAAGTGGAGTGTCACAATATCCTGAGTCCTGTCCCAAAGCCACTTTAAAGGAGTTTCTTTTCGGCTCTCTTTGTTCCTGCCTCTGCAGCTCAGCAGGGATAATGTTTGTGGCTCACACCATAAACTGGGGTTGCTAACTGGATTCCTCACAACGAACTGAAGAAATAGGCAAGAACTGGAAAATAATTGGAGCATTATCCCAGTAAATTTAGTGCAGGTGAACTCACAGAAAGCAGCCCCTGGAAGTGGAGTGTCCTGATGGGATCAGCTGACATCATTCCTCCCATTCATATCCCTCCTTGAGACTACAGAGGATAAGCTGAACCAGCAGCTGAGGGACAGCTCTGCCTTTTGGAATTCTTAGTTTGCAACTTCCTAGCTGGCAGTCCATGAAAGGCAAGGAAAGCCTTGCTTTCCCAAAGGGATTACAACCTGATTACAACCTGAACAGGGAGCTAGATCCTGCATGGAATATAGCTGGAAGCTGGGAGTTGACACCTCACAGGCAGGCCAGGCACAACCTGTTCCTGCCCAAGAATGTCTCCCACAGCTTCCAGAACCACTGGCACAGGGAGCTGCTGCCTCCTCCTTGGATCCTTAAATATCCCCCTTGGCCACAGCCCTGCCTTGAATTCCCCTCTCCCAGTCCTGGTTATAATTCTGTTTTCTGTTCCCTGAATGGAAACTGCTCCATTCCTCCAAACTGTTACTTGGTGTAATAGGAAAAGAACAAAATTGTCAGGAGTGTGGGAATGCTCAGGACCTCAACAACTAAAAATACAGACGAGGTGTCACCGCAATCCTCTTAAAAACTAAACTGGGCATCAGCAAAGGTGATTCAATGTTATTGCTGTTACTAAAATCCTACAGTTAAATGAGGGCATTTTTATTAATTTGTGACTTGGAGGTGCTGAATGTCCTGGGAACTGTACACACTGCTCTGAATCCCAAATCTATTTTTGAGTTAATATTAAAAAAATGTGTAAAACAATGTCTTTGCTTTTGTTCTTAAATTTTTTTTAATTTTACATCTAAATTTCCACAGCTAATGAAAAGAGCAGCCCAGAGCAGGGCAAAACCTCTTTTGGAGGGTGAGAGCAGCTCCAACTGGACACGAGGTCCCAGGAGCTCCTCAGGTGGCTTTGGCACCTCCTTTCCTGGATCCAGTTTCTGTGAGGGAATAGTGACCTCAGGTGTCTGTTAAATTAATCACAGGAATATCTTTCCCATGAATTTATCATGGCCAAAACCCACACGGTAAGTTCTGGAATCCAGACCCACCATTGCTGAAGTTCTCAGGGAATTCTGTGCTTGGCTTTTTATCCTGTTTATTGTGTACAAATACATTTATCGCATAAAATTTTTCACAAGTGGTGCTGAGACAGTTTAAAACATACAAATTTTCCTCAGATGGGTGGCAGCCAGAGGACAACAGAGGCAATACAAAGTGCCTTGGTGAGCACAAAGAACCCAGTTCTGATATGAACTCAGCCTTGAGCTGAGGTAGGGTTTGATATATTAGCACCAAAATTAGGTGGAGAAAACTGCAGTTGAAAATAAATCTGAAGTGGAAACTTTTACAGCACTATTAGGATCAAAATCTTCCCCCCACGGTGACTTCCCAGAAGATCTGGTTCCCATAAATGACAGGGTTTGTCCTACCCCTCTTGAGATTCTCCAAGTGACAGCCTGGAATTCATAGAAAGTTTATTATTTCATAAATAAAAGACAACAAAGACTGAGTGATTCATCAAGGCTTGAAAGTAAAAACTATATAACACCCACTGTGTAGCAGAGGTTCTGAAATGAAACTTCGATGCAAGGAAACACTTTTTTTTTTCCCCCATTTTCTTTTCTTTTTTTTTTTTTTTAATAATATGGTCAATAGTCTCCAGAGAGGTCTGCAAAGAAACTTAATTTCAAAGGAGCAGAAGCGAGTAACAGTCTGTGAAGACAAGAAGCCCAAAATGTGCCAAAAAAGAAAAAACATGTCAGACAACTCAACAGCCTGTGATTCTCAGTCCCCAGCTGAAACAACTCTTCCTTTCCATCAGGAAATTACCACATTAAATAAATCCCACACGACGTGTTGATGCAATTCAGCTCCGTTTTTCTCTGTCACAAATGGTGACCCACAAATAAACCTTGGTATCACAAAATCATGGAATCACAGAAAGGTTTGGGTTGGAAAGCATCTTAAAGATCATCTCAATCCAACCCCTTGCTGTGGCAGTTCCTCTTTTCCAAAGGGTTGTTATGGTACACCATGACTGGAATCTAATCCAACCAACTCCTCCTTCTAAATCCAAGTATTTTTGTACTGGAGACAAGCACCAGTCTGGAAAGTAAACTCATAAAAATCCTAAAATTCTTTGCTAAGAACTGGCATCAGGAAAAACAAGTCAGTAGATGACTGACATCAGGATAATATCCTGTTATTCCAGTGTTGAAACTGGATCTTCCGTTTGGAAATTCACAGGTGCCGGTGGGTTCTGGGAGTAGTTTCACATCCTAAAAGTAAATTAAATTATAATTATCATAGTTTAATCCTTTAGAAATTAGTGACAGGATAAGGACTCTTATTTATGCTTCCTAATGATTTCAAAACAAGACTGAATCCCAGCTGGAATGTTTGCTTCTTCATTTACAAGCATCTGCACCATCATGTAATCTATTGTATCTAATCTAAAATCTGTGCTTTCAGGAAAAAAAAATACGTGATTTTATTGCTCAGATGCAGGAAGACTAAACAAAGGGAGAAGTTCAGGAACTTTGGGGTTCACCCATTTCTACAAGAAATACACTTCTATAAAAGCGTGCCTGTTCTAAATTTAATTCTGAAACTACAGGCTTTTTTTTTTTTCCAAAGAGGTTGACTCTTTTTCAAACAATTTGCAATTTTCTTTTCAAAATCAATACTGAAAGTAATACAAATTTAATGCCCAAACACCCCTATTCCTACTCTTTCCACCGAAGTTGGAAATTCTTTTCAAAAAGCACTTGGAGTAGCATTTGGAGACACTCAGCCACAGTCGAAAAATAGGTTAGAAAACAATAAAAATGCTTCAGAACAGTATTTATTAAAGGTAAGTTAGCAGCATCCTTTAAGCATTAATTAGGTGCAAAAGGGGCACCTCCTCAGGCACGGCTGACAACTCAAAATTCACGCCAATTCCGGTGGGGATTTGTGGGTGTGAAAACACACGGGAAAAATGAGGGGAGAAAAAAAATAACTTCACATTTCCATGTAAATAAATAAATAAA